TGGCCTCTACAGCACAATGGTTTCATACGGCTCAATTATGCATGGAACAGTCCATTATGAGATAGAGGAAAGAACGAAAAAAATCGATGATAGTGATGTTAACTGCTTCCCATAAATAGTGGTTTCATATATAGCTGTGGTTGTCTGTGCGCTTATTCGTACACGATCTGCTTCTTCGTCACATACATATACGCAGGCACCGTGAACCACAACGTACAGCAACTAGGCTTTTCAGTCGAGTTATGGACCTTTTCGCTGCTGTTTTAGTTCATGGGAAATCGAAACCGCATATGTGACTTTCAAAAACACGGTCACTCGTATCCACGGGTGTGTATTTGTGTTTTGTTTTTGAATATAGGACTGGGCTGGGCAGTGGCGCATTGGTGTAGTTACTGTTGTAGAAATATTCTGGCGACAGGCCAGACGAATTGTTTCTAGTTTTTGTTTTTTTTATACGCATTTATTTAAGTGAACTGTGCCCCGCATTTGAATAAATCCCACTAACAGCACTAGCAACGGATTCTGGTACTTGATGTCCAGGCACTAATGGCCCTTACGTGAGTACCACGCGTACCTGGGAGTTGATTTTGAAATCTTTAGCTCACACATGCAGCCTCTTAAGTTGTCTGATTCCCGAGATCGTTTTCCCGCCGAAAAAAACTGTATGTTTTTTTAAGGCATCCGTACACGGGAGATGATATTAAAACGGGAGTAATCTGCTCAGCAACTTGAGTCCTCCGTCAGAAATTGTTTCTGGAGTCTGCGCTCATCTCTATCCGGAAACCGCACTTCGACTGTATCGTCTCAAGTTACTGCAGCTACCTGCGCATCCGCACCCTAATTTATTAGGGCGTCCAGTTATGCGGCGAATCAGCCTCTAGGCGCAAGCAGTGTTAATATGTCTGTCATGTGTTAATTTTTAATTTTAAAATAACCACAGTTAATCCGCGTCTGAGGTTTCATGGGAGTGAGTAAAGTGAGGGAACAATTGTGTGATGTAAGATACACTCTTTATCTAAAGCCGGGCATGTGATTGGATAAAGTGGATTAAGGAAAAAAAAATTCCCTTTTTGAAAATTTATAAAAATTAAAAATAAAAAAAATTCTCTTGAAAATTTATATTCAATTAAGGAGGAAGGGCTTTAAACAGGACTTAATCTCATAACATTTCAGAAAAAATCTCGTTAATGATCGGAGCTAATTAGCCTTGAACACAAATTCCGTTAATAATCGAAGCCTCGGCTTTGATCGTCCGATGCCCTGTTTAACACGCTGATGGTGATAGAAGCCAGTTTCCATTCCTGGATCTAAGTACTGGAAAATTTGGAATGCTACTAAATTGCTAATGGAAATAATGAAATTAACAAGTTTTAAAAGGTTGAAGCAAGACGGGGTAAGACGCTTCTTACGGCCACATGTGTGATTTGGTTTTTTTTTTTTTTTAACTTCTATTCATGTCTGCGTGGCATTGAGAGCATCAAACGTTCACTGATAAAACTAATAATTTTGTGGCTAAGATCTTTGATCTATTGGTTTTAGGCTTTAAAATAATTAGTGGCTGTTGCTCGTAATGCACAGATCTTTCAGAGTGATCGTTCGGACCGACTGCTGCCCGCTTCCTCGTCAAAATCGCATCTTACTGCTGCGGGACAGACGCCATCCAGTTCGGCGACAGCTGTAGTTGCACGGCCGGTGGTCGAGGATGATCGCGATGGGCATCTCATCTACAAGGATGGAGATATCATTCAAGGAAGATGTAAGTGGGCAGCTGTGACTCTCTTTCTTACAGTAATGGATCGGATGCCCTTGATTTTAGCTACTCTAATACAAATTTCGTGATTTTCTATTGCACTGCCTGTAGGTCTTTGTAGTGATTCCTGCAGACTACTAAGGCACGCTTCTAACGGTAATGCTGGAGAATGCATTTCTACGATTGTTTTTTATTGCCTTTCTGAATCTGCGCAGTTTTGATCATCTCGATGCATGGCTAATATTTACCACAGACTCTAAACCTCACCCTTTCTGCAATATTCTATGGATTTTTACGTTTGATGCCCCTGTGCATTAGCAAGTCTGAACTAAATACTAGCCGTAGATCCACCTTTTCGACCAGCCTGTCAAATTTATTTTTAGAAAAAGGCTCATACTTTCCTCCCACCGTTTATGAGACTCATATGTTCTTTCCCCCTTTCCCCCGCCCCCTCTTTGCCCCCTCACCGTTGTGCCAGCAAATGCTAGATAGATTTGACGTGCTCTTAGTGGTATAGTTTTCTGTGTTGTTTCTCAAATAAACTATATTTTCTTCAGAATTGCCACAAAGTTCGTTGATAGCGAAAAGTCCGTATTATTTTTGGTTTTTTTTTTTCCCCAAATTTTAGGCATTTTCTGCACCTCTATCCGAGCAATAAGGCGTTGCTCGTCCTTTCTTTCTCGCCGAAACGATAAAGTTTTTGTACAGAGTCTATCGTTCGCTACGTTTGATCTCTTTTTTCCAAAACGCCGCAAGTTGTGCACTGCTTCTTTCAGTTATAGCAGTGTTTGACGGGCGAGAACGAACCGATAGCTTTCAGATGAAATAGTTCGTACATTGGGCGAAGGCACGTTCGGCAAAGTGGTGCAAGTGAAGGACGGTGCGCAAAATGGCCGACAGTTCGCACTGAAAGTGATCAAGAATGTGACCAAATACCGAGAAGCAGCGCGTCTCGAAATTAATGTGCTAAATAAATTGCAGGAGAAGGATCCGAATGGAAAATTGTAAGTTCCACTTCCACTGTAGCTACCCTGCGTCTTTCCCAATGAACAGCTTGAAGCTGAGAATGAGCAAACTTAATGTATTTTAGTTTTTGTTGCGGTTCTTAAGATGCTCATCAAAATTTTTTGCTGCTCTGCCACACATGAACATGTCGAACACCTGCTTGTTCATAGCGTAGTTCTGCATCTATGCGGCTGATAATTTTTCCAGTTGGTCTGACCATTGGTCCAGTTGCTCTGACCATTGGTCCAGTTGCTCTGACCATTGGTGGATAATTTTTCCAGTTGCTCTAACCTGAGCGATGCCACTCGTAGACCAAAATGAGGTACCTTACCGACTAGGTAACTGAAATATTATCGAATTGTTTTTTTTTTTTAATTTCTCCTGTTGATCAGCATGTTGGCGATTCTGATGTGTTCTCACTTCGTTTTTGAGGGGGGCGCACCAGCACAGTAATTCCCTTGAAAAAAAAAAAAATCATCTGGGCAAGCCTTCAGACTTTTCGTGATGTCTTTGGTGTGTGTTAAATCTTACCGTTTCTTCCAGAGCGATGCCACTTTTGAGGTATCTTACGAGCTAGGTAACTGAAATATTATCGGTCAACTCATGAACATAATGAAAGCTAATGCTGAACCCCTAAATATTAGTGTAGCAGTCTGGATTAAACTCCTAGAACTGCTTTTATACGTTTTGTGCTGTGTAACAGCAGAACAAAACGCATATTGTCACGCGGTTGTCTGTGTGTGTTTCCGCAGCAACTTGTCCGCAACTTTCAACTCGGGGACCACAAAAGCTAGGGAGCTGAAAATTTAGGGGAACGTCCCTCACCCACGTGTGACCCCGCAAATTTAAATTCAGCTTCCCC